GGAGCAAGACCGGGCAGTGTTTCCTTCTGTTGTACATAGGGTCGCTATGAGTCAGAACCGACTGGAGGGCACCTAACAACAACAACAGCAGCATATTTCGGTTAAAGCATTTGACTGCTATCCAAAAGGTCGGCAGTTCGAATCCACCAGGGGCACCTTGGATACCCTATGGGGTAGTTCTCCTCTGTCCTATAGGGTGGCTATGAGTCGCAATCGACTTCACGGCAATGGGTTTGGTTTTTGTTCTGGTTATTTAATTATAACAGCCAAAAAAAGAAGAGGAATGATGCTGATGGAAAACAAAACAAAAGCAACCGTGTCCGCCCATAAAAATTAACGCAGATGACAATAATTAAGGTGAAAGTAAAAAAAAAAAAAAAAAAGTGCCACTTCCTACCTATTTTCCAGACTTCCTAGCCTCACAACTCCCCCTGCCCCAATTCCAGTCTGGGACAAGACTATTAGGGGAAATGCTGCACTTCACTTGCTTGGGAGTGGAGGAGAGAGGAGAGGGCGTTTAAGGGTCTAGAAGAAGAAGCAAACCTTCAAAAGCGCCAGCAGAAATACAGGGAAAGGCAAATACAAACTAAAATATTATGACCCTGTTGGTCTCAGGGATTGCTAAATGGGGGGGGGGGGGAAATCAGCGGGGAGTAGTAGCCTTTGGTAGTGACGGGGAAGACGGGAAGGAGGAGAAAGGTGGCCCCGCCCACGCTCCCGTCCCTACCCTCCTGCCGCACTGCAGGTGTGAACTGTAATTGGAGATCTGAGCTCACAGTGACGCGGCGCTTAAGAGACCCAGAGCCAATGAGTGAAGTCTCTCATTCCAGTTGCGGTGTGGTCATCGTTTGTGGCCTGTAGTCCAGAGAAGGAGGAAGAGGTAGAAGCTGACCCCGATTGTGGCAGGTTGGTGAGCTCTGATTGGGGTGGGGGTGGCGGAGGGCAAAGACCAGAGCGGGTCCAGGACTGGATTCTCTCCACGCCTTTCCCCTACGCCTATCCGTTTGGTGCAAGAAATGGAGGGTTCCGGGGGAGGAGATCCGGAGCGGCCAGGTTGGGAATGGGTACCAGCTCGGATTTTCCGGGAGGCAGGCGAGCTGGCGTGCGGTGTCTGGCGGAAGGGGAGGGCAGAGGAAGGGGATCGCGGACACCGCAGCGGGTCCAGGTCTGCGTTCCTGGCACTCCTCTCAATCCTCCGTCCATTTTGAAGCCAGAAATGGTGGACTACGGGCCCCTGAGGGGGTACTGCAGAGGAGGGGGACAAGGGCTCTGTCCCTGAACCCCGCCTGTATCCCTCCTTATTGCAGAGGAGGCGGTTGAGCAGGTGGGATTCTGACTGAGGGAAAGAGGCGGGGAGCTAGAAACTGTTTCTGATCCCTCCAGGTAGGTGTAAGCGTGGGCGCTGTTTGCAGACCTTGGGGTAAGAATGACAAAACTCTGAGAGCGCAGTGGGTTCTGGTTTGCAGTGCTCACAGTCCCACACTGTAACACCCACCCTTCGTCCATCTTGATGCATAAAATGGTGGGTAATGGGAGAGGGTGGGTTCTAGAGAGGGTAGTGGGTCCCAGACGGGCCTGGCGCATACCCAGATTGAAATTTTTTATAAGTAAACCACGTCTCCACCCAGCAAGCTCTCCTGATTTCCCTGCCTTGCATAGTGCCCATTTGCGTGAAAGAAACGGTGATTAGGTGACTAGTGGGATGAGACAGTGGGGATAGGGTGCCTAAAGAAGAGGTTAAACATGGTTTGGAAACAATCATCTTTGATTATGATGAGTATTTCTGAAGGGAGGGATAGCACGTCTCAGGACAGGAAAGGAAGCCCTGCGACAGGATGGAGGAGAACCAGAAGGTGGCAACATTTGACAAGGAGAGCCCTAAATCAACAACGGAGCTGGTGCCCCTATCTTGGTCCTTTGATTAAGTGGTCAGTGCCGGCCGGCCATTTTCTCATTTCTGTCTGCAGGTCTTTAGGTCCGTTGGCGCGGCAGATCTCAAAGCTAAGAGAAGACTGCCTCTGATCCCTGCAGGTAGGGGGCTGCCTGGGGCCCTCTTGTATGTGGGTATTAGATCAGAACAGAATCTGGGGTACTCACAGCCCTCCCTGCCAGAGTGGTGGGCCAGTGAAGGGTGAAGAAGGGGGTAGAGGGGCACAGTATGGGGCGCCCCTGGAGGGCAGCGCTGGATCCCAGGAAGCTGAGACCAAGTCTCTGGCTACTGCCCCACCCACAGGCCATCCTCCATTTTGGTGCCTGGAGGGGCCTGGGGAAGGATTTGAAGGGAAAATGGTGGGTTTGGAGTGGGGAGACTAGAGGGTGGGTCTGGGGAGCCCCCTAGAGGGCTCACGAAATCTCTTAGGTGGGAAAACCTTTGCCAGCCAGAGCTCTGAAACCTGTTGTTACCAAGCATTTAATTCCTCTTCTTGCTTTTTTTCTCCTAGGAAGAAGCAGGGGAAAAAAAATTCTCAACATGGAAAATGTCCCCCAGGAAAATGAAGGGAGGGAGCAGGTCCCCGTGCAGAATGGAGAGGAAGCCCGCCCTTTGGAAGGGGGTGAAGGCCAGGAGCCTGCAGGACATATTAGAGGGGATCGGGCTGTACCTGCACAGGAGTTTAGAGGGGATGTGCCCAATAGGCTTGCCAATAACATTGATTTGATAGATGGAGATGCAGATGATATGGAACGGTTTATGGAGGAGATGAGAGAGTTAAGGAGGAAAATTAGGGAGCTGCAGTTGAGGTACAGCCTGCGCATTCTTATAGGGGACCCTCCTCACCATGACCATCATGATGAGTTTTGCCTTATGCCTTGAATCCTGAGGCTAATATTCATAAACCTCCTGCTTCTCAAACTTAAATTTTCTTGACGTACCCTTAATGTGAAACTTTTGGTGTTCTGTCATTTTCTGACCGGAGATTTCATTTTGACTAGTCTGTAAGTTTTTCTGTCAGCAGGGGAGTTTTCATCAATTTGCATGGAAAGATGTTTGTTACATATTGTAAAGTTAATAAAGCAGTTTAAAAAGCAGCCTATAGATAGAATCTCATTTAAAAGCTTGCATATTTACACTATATACATATATATGATAGAAAAAAAGGTATGAAAATATAAAAACCAGAATATATTTATTTCTATGTGGTAGAGTTATTGGTGCTGTTTATTTTATTTAATTTATTCTTGATTATCTTGAGTTTTTTTCTTTTCATTTTTCCAAAATATATGTGTAGTATATGTATCAGAAAAAATTTTTAAAAACATTGACAATCAGCATATAAAGGGAATGGAGACAATAAATACCTGAGACACTACTTAAAGACATATAAATCTTGTACTACCTCTGGATTTCTTATTTAGAAACACAAACTTGGTACAGTGACACCCGTGAGAGCCGGAACTCAGCAGGACTGCCTTGTTTTTCTGGATCTTGCAAGTTTTCTGCCTTTGACAGGGTGCAGTCTTACCATTTTTCTATCGCTTATTTTAGTGGAAAATATTTGAGTTTTCCTTCTCTGACAGGTTTGCGCCTTACACAGGCTCTGGCTTTCGAAAGTTTTACTGTAATTATTACAGATAACATTTAGTTAAAGTCAGGCTACTCATCTATACAATGAAGATAATACATGCCTTACAGGACTGCTGTGCGGGAGAAACGTGGCAATCTGCTTCCATAAAGATTTACAGACTTGGAAACTCTATGGGGCAGCTCTACACTGTCCTATAGGGTTGCTATGAGTCTGAATTGACTCATTGACAATGGGTTTGGTTTTCACAGGACTGTTGTCGGAAGCAAATAAGGTAATGACTGAACTCTGGCTGATTGTATCCACATATGTAAGCCCCAGCCTTCTAGGTGCCCTTCATATTTAAGGAAGGGCCCAAAGAGTATGCCACATGTGCCTACCAGCGAGTTGAATTAACTACCTGGTGGGTGTCACCTTTCTATTAGTCTGCTGCTATGTCCTTCCCTAGATAACGGCATGACTACTGGGCACTCCTTTCCCTTTTGCTGGGTTTCTGCTCCCTCCACCGACTGTTACTACTGCTAATGTGCTGGAGTCCTAAAGGTGATAGACCCACTGATTTCTCTGGAACCTCCAGTGGTCTGAATCCCCATTTTTCCCTTTAGAGAAATGTGGAGAATGCCCCTTCCTGCTTCAGTTATACTTAATCCAAACGGATACTGCCCCAGTGCTGCTTAGGCACCCAAACAGTCCTTTCTAGTTTTGCTCAGACTTCCTTCCTCACTCCCTCCCCATAGTGTCACTAATAGACAAATATTATTGGTGACATTTATGATAGTGTACACAGAATCTGACTTTCCCTTCCATCCCCTGATGAATGTGACCCATTCTCCTTAACTCCATTTTTCCATGGTGACACTGCTACAGGTTTCACTCTGCACTTAAACAGGGTTGTGGGATTGGCTTTATGTCTCCAAGACTGTTGTGGTCCACACCACCCTCATCCCAGGAGTCCCCAGTAGTCCCTACTCATATTAACCTACGTGGATCCAGAGGAGTTTCCTTCTTCCTTTGCTTGAGATTTGCTGTGCCCAATAAACCTATAATCACAGATCAATGGGAAACAGTGGCAGGGGAGTCTGGGGACTTGGTGAATTGACCCTCGTTTTTGAACATTTTATACCACCCAGTCATCACTGATCCCCAATAGACTGTGCCCTTCTCACAGTAAATATTTTGTCTCATTTATTCTGGTACCCTTAGTGCCTAGCACTGGGTCTGGCAAATTGTAGGGCATAATAATTATACCTGAGTCAAGAGTCCAGCAATCTAGGCCTAGTTTTGCCTCTGACCATTTCCCTGACTATAGTTTGAATTTTAAAAAAGGAACACAGCAGAGGAAGCATTATACCCAATTTCAATGCATGGATGTGCCAGTGTTTATCATATGCTATACAGACCAGGCCTGGTGGTATAACGGTTAAGTGCTTGGCTGCTAACCGAAAGGTTGGTGGTTCAATTCCACCAGCCACTCTGACGGAGAAAAGACCTGATGATCTGCTCCCGTAAAGATTACAGCCTAGGAAAGCTTATGGGGCAATTCTACTCTGTCATATGGAGTTTCCATGAGTTGGAATCAACTCAATGGCACACAACAACAACATACATACACACCAGCTGCATTGGAATCACCTGAGGAACTGGTTAAAAATTCAGAAAACTAGGTCTTACGTCAAACTCCACTACATCCTACAAGTTCATCAGATGTTTCTGATGTGTGTAAATTAAAGAGGAGGCCCCAGTTTTAGTTCAAGTTTGGACACTCCCCTCTGCAACCCATATCACATATATTTGAGACCTGTGAAAGTAGTTTTTTAAAGGCCTTAATTAATGTACATATGTTAGGCATTGTTTTCCCACTAGACTGTGCTCTTCTTAAAGAGACAATTGCCTTTTTTATGCTAGTATTCTTAGTGCAGAGGCGCCCTGGTGGCGCAGTGGTTAAGCAAAGCACTTGGCTGCTGACAGAAAGGTCAGTGGTTCAAACTCACCAGCTGCTCCAAGGGAGAAAGATGTGGCAGTCTGCTTCCATAAAGATTTGCAGCCTTGGAAACCCTATGGGGCAATTCTACTCTGTCATATAGGGTCTCTAAGAGTTGGAATCAACTTGAAGGCAGTGGGTTTTTATTCTTAGTACATTGATTCTCAACCTTGGCTGTAGGTTTTAATTACCTGAGATTTTAAGTGAAGCTCAGGTCACTCCAAACCAATTGAATCAGACCCTCTAGAGGTGGGGCCAAAAGATCATTAAATTGTAAAAGCTCCCATGGTGACTCTGATGTACATGTAGAGCTGAGAACATCTGAATGTAGGGTGTGGCTACAATGTTGTTGTTAGGTGCCTGTAAGTCAATTCCCACTCATATAGACCCTGTGTACAACAGAACAAAACACTGCCTGATCCTGTGCCATCCTCAAAATCGTCGCTGTTTGAGCCCATTGTTGCAGCCACTGTGTCAATCCATCTCGTTAAGGGTCTTACTCTTTTTCCCTGACCCTCTACTCTACCAAGCATGATGTCCTGCTCCAGGAACTGGTGCCTCCTGATAATATGTCCAAAGTATGTGAGAAGAAGTCTTGCCATCCTCACTTCTAAGGAGAATTCTGGCTGTACTTCTTCCAAGACAGATTTGTTCATTCTTCTGGAAGTCCATGGTATATTCAGTATTCTTCACCAACACCATAATTCAAAGGCATCAGTTCTGCTTCAGTCTTCCTTATTCATTGTCCATCTTTCACATGCATATGAGGCAATTCAAAATACCATGGCTTGGGTTAGGTGCACCTTAGTTCTAAAAGTGACATCTTTGCTTTTTAACACTTTAAAGAGGTCTTTTGCAGCAGATTTGCCCAATAAAATGGGTCTTTTGATTTCTTGACTGCTATTCATGTGGGTGTTGATTGTGGATCAAAGTAAAATGAAATCCTTGACAACTTCAATCTTTTCTCTGTTTATCATGATGTTGCTTATTGGTCCAGTTGTGAGGATTTTTGTTTTCTTTGTGTTGAGGTGTAATCCATACTGAAGGCTGTGGTCTTTGATCTTCATCAGTAAGTGCTTCAAGTCCTCTTCACTTTCAGCAAGCAAGGCTGTGTCATCTGCATATTGCAGGTTGTTAATGAGTCTTCCTTCAATCCTAATGCCCCGTTCTTCTTCATATAGTCTGGCTTCTCAGATTATTTGCTCAGCATACACACTGAATAAGTATGGTGAAAGGATACAACCCTGACGAACACCTTTTCAGATTTTAAACTACGCACTATCCCCTTGTTCTGTTTGAATGACTGCCTCTTGGTCTATGTACAGGTGCCACATGAGCACAATTAAGTGTTCTGGAATTCCTATTCATTTTATTTTTCTTGAATATATATCATGTGAAATATATACCACAGAGGAAGAATTACACCTCAAAATCAACACATGAAATCATTTAAAAATAGTATATGTCAGTGTTGCTCCAAGTGTACTAGCCTATCAAATGCTTCAGAATCACCTGCAGAGCTTGTTTAAAATACAGAATCCTGACTCCACACCCAAGAACCATTCTTTTACAATGGAGCCCATGTACCCGCATTGTTAAGAAGCTGTCCGGGTGATTCTGATGCACACTAGCATTTGAATATTACTTGTGCATGCATTTTTTCCTCAAGTATATTAAAGACAACCATAAAGTAACTAAAATAAAATACAGAGAAAGGTTAATCTGAATTTAGAAGAAAGAGTAAGGTGAAAGCCTATCTGATCATTTTAAAAAATAATAAAAGGATGAAACCATAAAAGGATAGATTGATACTCATTATGTAAAAAAAATAATAAAATCTTATGTAAATCAAGATTGTAAATAAAAATTCAAGGGAAATGCCTATAAGTCTTGATAAGATGTATTTTCTCTGCTGAAGACCATGTTATGCCTTTCACTCTCATTCCAATGGGGATAAAACATAAGCAATAAAATAAATAAAATCACAGTCTTCTTGCACACTTAAATCCTTGATTGTAAGAATCTGTCCTAGCCATGTTCATTTTGGCATATTTATCTGCATATCTCAGGGAAAAGGCAGTGAGGTGAAAATAGAAATAAACACACCAGTTTGCCACAGAGCCTTCCATTCACTATTTGTTTCCTGTGGCTGCTGTAAAAAATTACCACAAATCTGATGACTTAAAATGACAGAAATTGATTCTCTCACAGTTTTGGAGGTAAGAAGTCCAAAATCAATGTGTCGGCAGGGCTGCACGTTGACTGGAGGCTCTAGGGGAGAATTTGTTCCTTGCCACTTCCACTTTCTGG